ATACATATCACGATACGAAAAAACGTATCGATATATTTATCGTCAGATAAAGTATCACAATTATCGATACTACGATATATCGTCACAGCTCTATAACTGAATGTTGTTTTATGCCTCTTTCAGTAATTTCCAATTCCTATCAATATCACAGCACATAGACACCATAAATGGGCTTCACACACTGAACCCCTGAGAGAAACTGAACCTGGATCCTTGCCATGACAAGCGAACTCTTTAACCACTAGGCCACTCCACCCCATTGAGGAATAAGAACTCCCTGTGTTTATGTTCCTATACACAGTGAAGACATTGACATGCATTAGCCTTGGTTCCCATGTGCTCTACTTCTAACACTTATCAAATATTGGTTCTGTATATTAAGTAGCAAGGATTAAAATGAAAGGTCAAGACAGGGTTAAAACCCATGTGATACATAATTTCACACTTATACCCCTCCTTAAAGTGCCAGATAACTCACCCAAACATTTCTAAAAGACCAAGTAACAGGAAGCAACAATAACATTCTAAATAGGACCATGACACGACATTGACATAGGTGTTTAAAACTGGATTTGATTTCTGTCAGACAGTTTCCATGACAGGAATGTTTTAACGTGGATCAAGACAGCAGATCAAATTTAGCAAGTTGATATTTATTTCCCTCTCTTTCCTGTATAAAATCCTACATTCTTAGATATTTGTCATATTTTCTCCCACAATGTTAACACTGTTATAAATACAATTTTGTACTGTGAAGTCATCAGTTTTATGAAGTCTGTGAATGGCATTGAGAAGTAATATACATAAAGGGGAAACTCATGGATGTCAACTTCTGTGGTACGAGGACCATGGTCGCGTGAAAGACTGACTGACTGACTGAGTTTGGTTTTACGCTGCTTTTGTCAATATTCCAGCAACATCACGGCGGGGGACACCAGAAATGGGCTTCACACATTGTACCCATGTGGGGATTCGAACCCGGGTCTTCGGCGTGACGAGCCAACGCTTTAACCATTAGGCTACCCCACCGCCCCTCGCGTGAAAGAAGGAGTATGAATATACTCCAAAATGTGATGTTCCTCATATTACAGAAGTTGACATCCATAAATTTCCCCTTCATCAACATTTTCTGGAAAACTAACATTTTTGCAATGCTTTAAAGTTCAATTCTCATTGTTAAATCAGTGTTTGACATTATGTTTGGATATAATGAAAGTCATTACATCTTTTGGTTTTTGAATAAAAGATTTTTTTTAAAAAGTTCATTAATGCCATTTTATTATGTTAATATATTACAGATCCTTGTATGTAAGCATTACAAAGATGTGAATATGCATTTTATTCCAATAAAATATTATATTTATTATTATTTATAGATTAAAGTACTGTATAAAAAAACCTCTAGGTTCCCAGGATATCACTTAATTATTCTCCAAACACTGCTGGGATTAAACCCATATTACATTCAGTTATTACACAGAGGAACAGCTATGGGTGTGTAATACTGACTTCGAACAATACACATTACGCATGTTATACCACACTAAACTGTGCAATAATAACAGTTAACATTACTAGAGAAAGCCTTACATCAGCAGTATATATACAATACAGCTTAGCTGTGGTATATATAGAACCAGCTGATCCCTGCTCTGTGTCCTCAACAGATAGGTATATAATGCTATGTCACTCACCTAGCAGAACAAAATGCTTTTGTTACTAAACATTCTCACTTTTGTTTTGGAGGCAAGGGGTCTGTGTCAAGGGTAGGGGATAGTGCAATAATCTGATGATTGAGCTAGAGTTTTTTAATGATTACAAACCTACCGGGGTGAAGGTAAAGGCAAGATTATTGTAAGGTTACGTTTTGGTCATATCACCATGATGTGCATAATCATACACAGGGCTGGAAATAACTTTAAAATTGCTAGTGTACTCCGGTACAGTGGCACATGTAAAATCACTTGCCCTGATCATTTTTCCACTATACCAGCCGTTTTCTTGTTGATTTTTTAAATAAACAACGTTATTAACATTGGAAAGTCAACTCGACACCGGTACAGCATGATATACAAATTTGCTTGCCCGACAGAAAAAAACACTGGACTCGGATGTCGGGCAATGGGTTATTTCAACCCCTGATACACTGTTTTGGTCATCAACATGCAAAAATAAAAATGTGAGGGGTATTTATGAACCATTGAAATTCAAAGTGTACTATTGGTCAGGTATTGTTTAAATTAGTAATAAGAGTGAGAGTGGGATTAAAAGCACCTGAATATGCTAGAAATTACTTCTACTGTATTGTGTGTGTAAGTGTGTGTTTATTGTTTAACAATGCATTGAACAATATTCCAGGTATATGAGGGTGGTCTGCAAATGATCACATATGGACCAGACAATCCAGTGATTGATATTATGAGCAATGCTACATGATGTTGGGAGTATGCTGACACATCATGAAACAAATATAGACCTAACCAACCCATCCACTGAGTCGCCGCTGACAAGCAGCACAGGATGGTAGGGCTCAAACCAGATTCACCATTGGCCTGGACTATTGCAACATTAGTGAGCTGATAGAGCAAATCCAAACCTGATCCAGGATTTGGATGTGTACCACTTTGATGAAACCCATGAGGACAGGTATGCTTACATACCAAGATCATAATAAGAGAAAAATCTGAAAATCAAACCCATAACCTCATAACCTGGTCATGCTAAGGGAAGTAACTCTGCTGAGCAAATTGCAGACCCTCAGGCCATCTCGGTGTGTTTCACAGTCTGATAGGAAAAGCTTGTTTGAGAAATGTAGTATTCATGGGTAAATTCTCTACTGTCTACTGCCTCTGAACTACATTATGTTCCTTTCAGCCAAACTTTACTGTAATGATGTTGTAGTACTGAGTGAGTGAGTGAGTTTAGTTTTACACCACACAGCAATATTCCAGCTTTATGGCGACGGTCTGTAAATAATTGAGTCAAGACCAGACAATCCAGTGATCAACAGCATGAGCATTGATCTTCACAAGTGGGATACGATGACATATGTCAACCGAGTCAGCGAACCTGTCCACATAATCTCGTTAGTCGCCTCTTATGACAAGCATTGGTTACTGAAGGCCAATATTCTAACCCGGACCTTCACGGGTCATCTTTATGGAAACAGTGACATGTGTCAACCAATGATCCTGACCACCGGATACCTTGATGTAGTCCTAAATGAAGCAAGTCTAGACTTTCCACAGTATTCTCATGAAGGGTCTCCTTTTCAATTTATATTGAATCTTTCAAAATGTTATTTGTTCAGAGACTTAATGTTAGTTTAAATGCAAATCCATTCACTGGATTTATCAAGACAACATGCAACTGAACGTAAACTATACACATAAGGATATGACCTTACACCTTTAATTCAACTGGGCGACACAAGGTGACACACTGTAATGACAATGGTGTCATTGTCTGTCAGCCTGTCGAACTGGCTGAATATAGCAGTTATAACCAAACAACTGTTGCTTAATGATCGGAATAATACAGAGCACGCCCATTTATGATCATTGCTAAATCAATCATTAATAACAGACTTAATCCAATACAGTATTCCATCAATACGGAATTGCAATCAGCCAATGTTTGATATCAACACCTTGAATTAATGCATATTTATCAATTATTGATTATGACATTAGGACCTGCGGAATAACAAATGAGAGCTGTTCCTACCTACAATTAAGGACAGGTTGTTAGCAAGGAAATGGGCTTCGTTGGGGGGTTTCACCTACCACAACAGCCTCTTCAGTAGGGACATTTTCCAGATAAAGGATACATCCAGGTGTTAAATGAATTAGTTAGTGAGTGAGTGAGTTTAGTTTTACACCGCTTTTTGAAATATTCCAGCAATATCATAACAGATGACACCAGAAATGGGCTTCACACATTGTACCCATGTTGGGAATCAAACCCAGGCCTTCAGTGTGACAAGCGGACGCTTTAACCACTAGGCTTCACCACATCCTCCAGCTATCTAAGAGCACTGAACACTTCTACTTTTCATGGTCATATCGCACAAACAGATCTTAGCTCTAGGTCTATGTTAAAATATGAGAGTTACGATCATCATACTCTCACAGTCACTTTGTGCACATGGCCCCAGATCTTTAACTTAGGTAATAATTCCAAAATTGGAATATGAAATTCATCAATTCAGGATATGATATTCACAAATGATGTTTATCTCTTGCATCTTTAACATGTTTAAGCAATTATATTTTTCAAAAAGTGAAAGATTATGGGAACAATGAAAAGGAAAGGTATTCAATGATTAATGTTACATTGTGGTTTCCAATTTGAACGAAAACGTGTTCTAAAAAAATCCAAGCTCAATCCCTGACAATTGCGCAGATCGATGCTCAGGCTGTTGATCACTGGATTGTCTGGTCCAGACTTGATTATTTACAGACTGCTGCCGTTTTGCTGGAATATTGTTGAGTGCGGTGTAAAACTAAACTCACTCACACAGTTTATATGTACAAAGAATAAGCTTCATTGGCATGAATGAAGTTTGTTTTATCAAAACTGCTGAATAAGCGTAAAGAATATTTCAGTGTACCTATTTTTTGTGGCATCTGTTGAATGTTTATCCACATAAACAAACTGAAGAGCATATCTACAAAGTAGGCAACATGTAGAGATAAATTATGCCTTGTCATGGTATAAACTTGTTATAACATTACTAATATAGGCTGGAGTGTGTGGTATGTTTGAGATAACTCCAGTCAGTACAAGCATATCATCCAAGTCTGCTGCTGGTGTTTTAAATTGGTGTCACCTGTAACTGTAACAGTGAGCAGGTGAACATATGCCGCTAGTGATCTGTGAACAAATTCTACAGCAGACAGCTGTGTACATCACAGAGCTATCGTTTTGGGTGAACTAACTTTATCTGTGTCACAGGTTACTAAGGGAATTTGCTGGTTCAATATATGAGCGTGACTTACCTTAGAAAGGTTTGAAGGCAAACATCACAAAATCGGTGTCCGCAAGAGCTAATGAATACTGGGTCTCTCATAGGCAGACGACACAGTGGACAGAAGCATCGTCTGTGTAATTTGTCCGCAAATATCTCGGTAAAGCCAGTCATCGTTTGACAGGGGCCACGCTGGGGTGTCCAACAACAACTCACACGTTTCATGTAAAAGAAATTCACTGGCCACTAATCGGCGTTCACCGAAGTCAAATTGGCCTCATATCCACTGAATACGACATTGGTATATGTGTCGTCTGCTTACACAGCGTGGATCACAGCTGGTTGGGATATCGTCTGCGTATCGATTGAGCAGACGGGATTATGAACGGTGGTTGTAAGATTGTATCACGTGACAAACACCGGCGTGTGTACTGGACCGTTAAGTCCACGGATGATTATAACATCACTTCCATTTCACAATTAGTCCAGGCTTGGGCTGCGATTAACTTTTTGAACAAATCAACGTTGTGGAAATCTCTTAAATCGCCATGCTTTCCGTCACTCAGCTGACGATCCGATCATAATCAACGCGACAGGTATCGCCCACCTCTTCAAATTACCCCTGATTCCGTTACTTCAAAAGGGCCCATCCTCTCTTCCGCCAAGTTGTGTGAATCAGACTATTATACGAAACATTGTCGTGGACTGTTTCTTCCCTGACTTTCTCGCGCACAGGTCCGTTGTCCTATTTCCTTGTCACGTGAACACTTCCTCGGTTAGACCTCGGGTATTTATCAAACCGATCGTGACAGAAAACACAAGCTAAACACGATTACTAGTTCTTTATCTACCAGGAAAGACATTGCGAAAAACACACAACAGCGGTGTATTATCAGTAACTATAGTCACAGATCTATGTACACACACACTCCTTCCAATTCGCCACCAGCCCACTTTGAAAGCAGTTATGCGACTATGCATCTAGTGTGGACTCCTGCCAGTGTGTTTCAATGAGCTCAAGAGATAAGTTCAATGTCGTTCACAGTGTACGCGAACTCCGCACAGCACGTACTGCATCTTGCTATAGTAATCATCACCCCAGGAGAAAATACAAACGTGAGCTGGCGTGAATAGCGTTACCTGTAGAAAGGATCATCTGTTCTGCATGTACAAGACGGAATGTTAGGTAATGGCTTCGTGCGGTGAGTGTGAATGCGATGTCACAAAAACGACGTTAAGTAGTTTGGAGAAAGCAGGCTTGGCACGATCGCATACCTGAACCATTTTTATCGGTTTTAAATAGAACAATGTTCTTTGTATTGACGTGTTTACAGTCATCTTTATTTATCACAAGAAAAAGGGTAGCACAAAGACAGCAGAAGGTGTTCAGATGAAGAATAGTAAGTGAGTTGGTTCAACGCCGCTTTGAACAGTGTTCAACTTACACCAAGTCGTGGGACTGACGAAGTGATTGAGTTATATTTCACGCCGTATTTATCAATATTCCAGCAATGTCACGGCGGGGGACACCAGAAATGGGCTTCACGCGTTGTACCCATGTGGGGAATCGAACCCGGGTCATCGGCCTGACGAGCGAACGCTTGAACCACTAGTCTACCCCACCGCCCACTTAGCACTAGGACTAGCATAAGTCTTTAGCAATATTCCAGCAACATCACGAGAGGGGACACCAGAAATGGGGAAATGTACCGAAGTGGGGAATCAAACCCGGGTTTTCGGCGTGACAAGCGAACGCTTTAACCACTAGGCTAACCTGATGAAAGTCGCAGACGTTTACCACCATGGTGAAACCCACTGTTGTGTGACAGCAGATGTCATGAGCATTGTCAAATTATCGATAATCGGAAATGTCGTCGATAGGAAAAAATATTAATGATTATCGATATAAACATTGTGTTGTCGATAGTATCATACATTAACTTCTGTGAAAGCATTTTTTCACACAATATGCAATGTTAGGACTTTAATCATGGTCTGCTTCTATATTATGTTCAGGATGCTGTTTTGTTAATAGTCCATGCCAGTTTTGCTCAAACTTACGTCTCCGATAGTTATTGATAATCGATCGATATTTAGTTAACGGTTATCGACCTCTATGATCTATATCTATAGCCAGCCCTAGTCACATATAACCTGTTAGGATCCAATCCCAAGATGTTATTCTTAGGGGCATGCGTGGTTAAAGCTGTGGTTACCATGGATCTGTGCTTCTCCCTATAAACGATTTCATATGACATAAAGGTATTAAGATTTAAATCAAGGAGCGTCTCAAAGGCAGCATCAAAATCGTTCATACGGTTACCGCGGCTCGGATTCTAGGTGTACCTGTAACCAAGATGGCGCAATCTGTGCTCATGCCATTAAGTCATGACAATCAGCCAATATTATAATGATATACTGGAATACCCCAGGCTGACATAAAACCACATTCAACCAATATAATTATGATAATGATATACTGGAATACCCCAGGCTGACATAAAACCACATTCAACCAGTATAATAATATAATGATATACTGGAATACCCAGGCTGACATAAAACCACATTCAACCAGTATAATAATGATAATGATATACTGGAATACCCCAGGCTGACATAAAACCACATTCAACCAGTATAATAATGATAATGATATACTGGAATACCCCAGGCTGACATAAAACCACATTCAACCAGTATAATAATGATATACTGGAATACCCCAGGCTGACATAAAACCACATTCAACCAATATGATAATGATATACTGGAATACCCCAGGCTGACATAAAACCACATTCAACCAGTATAATAATGATAATGATACACTGGAATACTCCTGAGTGAGGTAAAACGACATTCAACCAGTATAATGATGATAATGATACACTGGAATACACCAGGCTGACATAAAACCACATTCATATAATGATGATAATGATATACTGGAATTATCAATGATATACAATACCCCAGGCTGACGTAAAATAACACTCAACCAATATAATAATGATACATGTAATTATCAATACAAGGAAATTAACAAGTGCTTGTTTAAAATTCATGCAAACGGCTTTGCCATATCAACGGATAATTATGCAAGTAAAAGAGTGAGTGAGTGAGAGTAATTCCAGCAATATCACGGCGGGGGACACCTGAAATGGGCTTCACACATTGTACCCATGTAGGGAATCGAACCCGGGTCTTCAGCGTGGTGAGCGGGCGCTTAAAACATTAGGCTACCCCACCGCCCGCAAGTAAAAGAGATTATGTTGGTACTTATTTAGGTGTTTACAAGTTATCATGGCGATCGAGTGTGCATGACTGGAAATTCTCTGTTTTCTGGCTTAGTTTATGGGTCCTGGCTCCGATTTCTCGAAACAAACTTAAGTCTGAGTTTTGACTTAAGTTAGAGTTTTTACTCAAATTTGAGAAAATGCATTTCCCAGAATGAACTAAAATCGATAATAAACTCAAACATAGTGGACAATTTGAGTTTGGTGGATAGATTACTTAAGATGTTTTGGCTCTTTTATTTAAAAAATGCAGTTGAGTTTAAAATTCAGCTGTTTCAAATTGTCAAACTCAGTTTGAAATTTAAGTAAAAACTTAAGTTTGTTTCGAGAAATCGGGGCCAGGAATTAAGTTTAACTATTCTTGCAGTCATGATAGTGTTCAGGAAATTTAGATCTCAGTTTTACAGGTTTTACATGGTATTTACTGACTTTTCATCAATAAATTGAAATAATATCATTGTTAGATATTTTAAGTTTAAATGGATCATCAAAAGATATGGGCACATTTATGTTCACAAAGGAACATCATAATTATCTCTCTGGTGCTCTATAGCAGCCTTAGAAAAAAATACTTTTCTATTCCTGGTATCGTTATCAATTACAAATCAATTGTGAATACCTATCATGGTCTTTACCTCCAGCTGAGAGCTGTGCCACTTCTGCCGACATTACAACACAAGACAAACATCCAGACGACCTCAGCTGACACTACAACTGCCTTTCTGCGGTAACTGGGGTATCATTGGGTGTGGACAGCACCCGCAACTCATTCTTACACTTCACCATGAATGCGGAAGGTTATACTTTCCCCGCTACTCGGAATATTCTGACCAGCAAAATACACCCCCTATATCTACTGACCACGTTCTTCACAGGGAAAGTCCAGCATATCATAGTTTTCTGGGAATGGAGCCCACGTGACCACGAACAGTTGTGATGTGTAACCCATGTCCAGGCACCTTGGTCGTGTAGGTATTATATAATTTGATATAAATTGGAATCATGAAGACGTTTTTGTTAAGTTAAAGCAGAGGGGGAAAGGTATCTATCTATCTATCACTTCATTTTATTTCTAAATATTAACTTTGTATGTTGGTTTTCGAATATATATGGCTCTAGGGCAGAAACATTAATTTAGTAGAGAGCTGAGCATTTTGTGACACTTTTGCAAATAAGTAGTAAATTATTCAAAAGGTTAGCCAGCTAGTAACCAATAACCACAATATGAAATGAAGGACTTTTCAATAAGACATTGTCATCTTTCAATCATTGGAGGGGCGGTGGTGTAGCCTAATGGTTAAAGCGTTCGCTCTTCACGCCGATGACCCGGGTTCTATTCCCCACATGGGCACAATGTGTGAAGCCCATTTCCGGTGTCCCCCGCCGTAATATTGCTGGAATATTGCTAAAAGCGGCATAAAACCATACTCACTCATTCACTCATTGGAATTTGCATTTTTCAAAATAATTGCACAGTTACAATCCCTGACGATTCTAGCTGTAATTATCATACACTATTGCTAGAAGGAAGGACATCACAGGTATAAAACAAAGAAAATGTATCTTTTAGCACATACATGAATCAGTTTCTACATATTACATATAATCGAGAAAACATTAAATTTAGACAATTTAAATCAGTTTAGTTGTTTTGGCATCCTGCAAGGACAAATTTTTCATGGTTAACACGATAACAAGTGCGTGTATATAAATGGAGCTTACTTCAACAATGTTGGCATGCTAAAGGTAGGGCTGGGACGGGTAGGAAAAATTGGAATCGAGTACCCGCATGTACTTACCCGAATCGGAATCGAGTACCCGGAAATGTAAGGAATAAAGCGCTTCTGTCAACTTTCTGAATATTCAATCACGATTTGACAGAGATTATTATAGAAAACTTGAAAGGATGGCAATACGACATTAAAACAGATCTTAGGCTATTCAGTTTACGTCTATTTAACCAATATATACAGTAACAGCATTACTTACATTCCTCGTTAAAACACAGAACTTTTCGTTCCTGCCGCTCATGCGTAGATAAATTACAGTCGTTAATAATAACCTTCATTAATCGGACAATACCAATGATGTAAATACATGTGTGTTACGTCAATTATGAAAAAGACAAGTTATTATCTGCCCTTGTCATTACATAGTTCTTTCCCTTTCCGGGTACTCGATTCCTAGAAATAGGACTCGATCCAGGTGTACCCGAACCGGATTCGAGTACCCGAGTACCCGTCCCAGCCCTAGCTAAAGGAGCATACAAACATTGGTCATCACTTCGGCAGCTACATCAAATGGGCGGGGCCATCGGGTACTAATATCCACAATGAAATACTTTTGAATAACTTTGGGCGCAAGTCGAGTGGGAATAAGATTTCACAGCAGTATTCCAGCAATATTACGATGGGGGTCACTGGAAATATTCTTCAAAGATTGTGCACATGTGGGTCAATCAAACCCGGGCTTTTGGCGAGACGAGACCACACGGCTACCCCACCGCCCTTGAACAAAGTTGTCCTAAATGATAAACTATGTAATCATCCTTGCTCCATGCGTTCTTTTAGGGTACAATATATTCAATGGTTTGCAATGCAAACACAATACAATGAACATTACCTTTCGCGAACTATTTTCGTCACATTTTAAACTGTACAATAGCAAGGAAAATTCGTGCTTAAATTGCCTTGGGCTAACTCGAAATCAACATCGGCAACGTGAACATGTTCCGTTACGTATTCACCATGCCCTGAATCGTTACTCACTTAGCATTAATT